TCTGCATCTCTTCTAAAGATAAATGGCCTTTTACTTCTGCTTTTCTGATGCCCTTTTGCCCTGCTCTTCAACCACCACATAATTATTTTCGGTTTTACAAATTATGTTCCTATCCAGGCTATTTTTAAATAAAAGGAGCACTAAGGGTCTTATACATTTAACATATGTCAAGACAAAATCTAATGGTGACAATTTATATTTTTAACCATTTGTAAGAGGTCAGAAAAAAAAGAGCTGTTGGTTTTAGTCATTTTTTTCTGCCTTGGAAAAACAACCAGATGGCTTCAGTACGTGGCTGCCTGTTTTTAGGTGAGCTATCATAAGGCAAGATATGGGGACGCATATCCAAAAGATCAGACTAAGGCCCTCATAGTACGTGTCATGAAAGGAGGATCCTCTTTTAATTTTTTTAGAGAAATGGCTAGATTTAAAAGGCAATCTGTAATGGCTGAATCTTTTATTTTGTCTTGAATCATACAGCAGTTTGTGAGAGTCAAATATTTGAGAGCTGACTGAAAATAAATGAAATGTGAGCGCATTTCAGTGGAAGTAGGCCAGTTGCTAACATTCTCTTCTACTTCTGGAAGTTCAATTTCATTATTTAATTGGATAAAAATCAAGAACAATATTCATCAGACTGGGGAATTTCTATATACGGTCCTGTTACTGGGGAAGCTGGGAAATAGTCTCATGGCCTTTCCGGCTGCTAATTCTGTCATTTCTTATGTGGAAATAATTCCTGAGTAGTATTTGTGGTTAACCTTCTTGAACACGTCCTATTCAGGTACCATGTCTCTGAGAACATGGTTCTTGGATCAGCGTGCAGCTTCCACAGCATTGCGCCAGGCTTCTGCTACGGCCAGGCATGTTTTCCGCGGCTGAATTAGGCCTGGAGAATGTTGCATCTCCAAACCTGCTTTCCAGTGTGCATTTTGTAGAGCATAAGCCAGCATCCCTCTGTAGACTCAGTAGCTTCTACAAGGGATGGAAGAATCTAACCTTTAAACGCTGTAAAATATTGGAGGGGTTAGAGAGAAAATAGTACAAGAAAAACAAGTTTGAACTTGTACTATGTGGTTTTATATGGAAGCTTTCCATGGTTATATCTATATTCACAATTATATTTCTTGTTTTGTTTTGTTTTGTTTTGTTTTGTTTTGTTTTGTTTTGGGTGCCAGGAGTTGAACTCAGGACCTCGTGCTTGCCAGGCAGGCATTGCGCCACTGAGCTAAATCCCTGGCCTCTTCACAATTATATTTCTAATTTCTTCAGAATATGTATTAATTTTAGTTGTTCAATACGGTCATTCAGTTGATTACTATGGTAACTTTCATTTCCAGTTTCTTTGCGATTTTTTAATATCATTGTGTATCACAGCTATGGCAATATAAAGTAAGTTATTCTTTGCATTTAGCATCACTTGCTTTTAAATCAGTTACCTAGATTTCAGATTTTGAAAGTCAATCTTAGTATGGCTATGATAAGGGTATCATAAAGTATCATCTAAAAAGGTATGAAGACCAAAATGTTAATGTTTAGATTATTTAGATTATACCAATGTATAGAATTTGTATAGGTTGCTATTATATTAATGTATATAGTTTTAAATGCTTATTTCATTTTCCATAGTGTGTGTTAGTGATTTAAAAATACATCAGTAAACTTCTTTAGACACCTAGCTCCTAAAGTATTGCAGATAGTATGTTTTCCAGTTGATGTAATTTAGTAAGAACTAAATTCAATCTTGAATTTGTATACAGGTAAATGTATAGCTTTAGAAATTTTATATAGTTGATATTGTATTTTCACAGGATAAAATTACATATTTTCTTCTGATAAAAATATGACATATTGGATTGAAAATAATGTAATGGCATTTCTGACTAATGTGATTAAAGCATTAATAAGCCTGTTCGGCCAGTGTGGAAGAGTTGGCTTTATGCCAACCTTCACAGGGAAGGAAGCCTTCCGTAAAACACTTGTTATTAAAATGAGCACTCCTCTACTGTTTTCTAACCTTTGCTTCATGGAGGTCTAAGATCCCTCTGAACATTCCTTGAGAAGCTTTCTAGGCACTAAATGCTTCTCCTTATAATCCACATAACTCCTGGATAATAACAGAGTAATTTTCCATATAAATGGATTCTGCTCCTTGGAGAAGAGCAGAATGAGCCAAGGTCTTTTCCTTGTCTGCTTTCAAAAGACACACTATTATTCACACTGCCAGGTAGATAGAGATGAACTCACTGAACGCTGTCCTTCTCTACTTTAAGATGTATGAAAAAGGCCTCCAGCACTATTTAAGATGTTAAGATTATACTATTCACAAATATTTATAATGTAAAAACAGTTCTAATAACAAAAATACATTCAAGTCATGCTCTATGGCACACACCTGTAGTCCCTGCTACTTAGAAGGTTGAGCCAAGAGGAATGCAAGTTTGGGACCAGTGTGGGCCACTTCTGAAGACCCTGTCTCAGAATGAAATAGAATATGGTTCAGCACTTCTTGGATTCAATCCCTAGTACTGCCACACAAAGAAAGTTCAGAGGTTCATGTGTGATAATTGATTACATTGATGCTTGGTTGGGCTATGAAGTGTTATTTTATGTAAATATTTACATTTAATATAAAACACCTCTAGAATCTAGGGCAATTATATGAAAAATTAAACATCACCTGATTATATCATCAGTGGCAAAATGAAAAGAAAAGATGAGTATATTTGCTAAATTTTTCAAGTGGGAAATATATGTGTCTATGTATGGATATATATGATACATATTGCTATCTTCTTTCCTGATTTTTACTTCCATATTGGAAATATATACTTTGACATGAAAAATTATTAATTAAAAATCCCTATTCAATAAAAAATTTATAACATTTATATAGACTCCAGATCATAACTGAACTATACATTATTAAAAAGCAGAGAAGAAATTATCTAAGTATTGTAATTGTCTCCATAAAAGTAATACAAAAGTATATTCAATCTATTTATTTCATTTCCATAAACAACATTATTACAATATTTGGTGCCTATTCAATTATTGGTGCTATACTGGATATATAATATATATGTCATATTTCATATATGTGTGTACATATATACATACATGTGAATATATGTTCATATATATATGGATATTTCATTAAAAGCAACAAATATAATGGATCAAATGGATGATAAACTTTAGCATGGAGATATCGAGCAAGCAAGAAAGACTTTATAAGAGTGATAGATCATGACCAGGCTCAGAAGAAATTATTGAACTTACCTCAGCCAAGAGGAAGTAGTTTAGTTCTGAAACTTCATGTAACTAACCTTGAAACAACTGGGCTTCTTGCTGGTGTTATTTATGCAGTGGATGTTAGTGCCAATATTCATCAAAAGTCACAGTGTTAAACCTATAAACCATGAGTGAAATTGAAAAGGAAGAGTTAGTTGCTAAACCAGTTATCTTATATTTTCTTGATTATCTCAGTATCTACAACAATTCTACCCAGAAGTAATCTTCCTAACCTTTTTTTAAAAAGAATAAAAACACCCTGACTGTATGATTCAGAAAAATCCCAGAAGAAGGAAATATGTCTGGGCTTCCCCACAGTAGAAGAAAAAAATTAATGGTAACAATTCTTATAACAAAGAATCATTGGCCAAAAATGATGATCTAGCTTCTCTCTTCAGCATACTTCAGTCTAGGAGGAACTATATTATTAAATTCTATTTTCACTTTAAGTCTTTTTCATAATATATTAGCTGTACGTGGTTAATGTCATCTTTCACATCACTGAAAGTATTAATCTGAATATTACTCTTGAATTTTTGTTCACAATATACAATATTAAAACACATCAGCATTACAATTTCAGCACTAGGGAATGTAGAACCAAATTTCTGTCAATATGACTTGCATTTAAGGAGTCACTGAGGTTTTTTAAAAATAGAACATTAACTCTTGCAAAAGCTTGAGCAGCATGACCGTAACACTTAGCTACTGAAATTAATGGGTCTTTGAAACCATTAGTATGTCCATGAACTGTTCCTTCATCCTGAAAGCTTTGCGTTACTTAGGTATTGCTGTAGGTTGTGTCCCTGCATCAGGTTTTGTAAAGGTTACTCATTTATGATGTCTTTCCAACTGATCTCAGAAAACTTATTATTTATGCTTGTGACATTAAATGGCTCTTCTAGATGTGTGGCATGTTACAATGATTTATTTAAAGGAAAAATCCAAAGCTTGATCTCATGTTGAATTCAGATTGAGCTCCTAATGAAAGCCTATACAGACTCTAGACAGTTCCATTTATGAAGAAATTTCCATTTCATTTAGAATTCTTTGGTAAGTGTTGAATTCATTTATGTGTTCAAAGAAAAGAGAGAGATCCATCATTTTCTGCTGGTAAAATAAGGAGAAAATTATATAAGCCAGAGAAAAATGTAGCTCAAAGTTGAAATATAATGACTGTGACTAATGTTAATGTACTGCTCTTCCTTTCTAAAATTACAGAAACATGGCCAATACTTAGAAACAACTGGTAATGTTCTTTGCCCTCTAAAATTTCCATCTTAAGAGGTGGAAGATATGATTTGATTTGATGCATTTTAATTAATGTAATCATTAGTAGATGTAGCATACCAAACTTCAGCAAACTACTCCTAGTTCAGCAAGCGTGTCAATGTTATTGAGTTATTTTCATAGGGTACTCATGTACAAGTTGAGCTCATAAAATGAATTAATCAGCGTAAGGCATCCTTTCCAAATCATCCACACTACATGTTGCCTAACCATTTTTGTCCAAATTAAATCAGCAATCACATTGTTTTTTAATAGTAAGATTTAATTCTGTTAAATTATTAGCTTATCTTTATCAGTAGTATTAACAGAATCAAATGCAATCACTACCATTTTTTTACACTATGACAGAGCATTTCCCAATTGGTTGAATAAGAAGAAAGAAAATTCACATCTTTCTAATGGTATTTTGTTTCCAGAAATTAAATGCAACCAGCTCATCTGAAGGAAGCACAGTTGATGTTGCTCCACCGCGGGAAGGTGAGCAAGCTGAAACTGAACCTGAGGAAGACCTTAAGCCCGAAGCTTGTTTCACTGAAGGTAAGCAAATTCTAATGTAATTGAGTGCAGTCTTCTCTCATTCCTGACAGAGACTGAACATACCTCATGCGAATGACATATTTCAAAGAAATAGTGAAGGTGTATTTATCTTTGTTTTCCTAGTTTCTTTCACAAAGTCAATTTGTCTGTATTTCCAAATCCTAGCATATGTGATAGCAGAGAGTATGGTTGAACAATTAAAGGACTTTTTGGTGTTGTCCTCATCCTCCAGAATGTCAGAAAACTGATCCATGAGATAAATGGCGTTCTAAATGTCATACATCACTGGTATTGCGATGCCTTCAGAATGCGCTGGCAGTAGTGTGATGTGATTTGCAGACACTGCAATGACCACATCCCATCCCTGACAGTTTAAAAAATGGTTGTTTTGCGCTATGGCCAGAACTTCAGGGGAGAGTAGCTGTGTTGGACCGCCTTGGCAGTGGCAGTAATAATTGTTCACACATGACCAATGCAGTGTCTTCACACAAATCAAAGGTTTATTGATCTGACTGTATTTAATCTAATGAGTAGTAGCTCAGAAAGTTAATTCAAAAGAGTGGATAGAAGTTAGAAATATAGTAACATGACGCTTCGAGGCTGAGGACAAAGGAATAAGATGACTGACTGACAAGATGTGTCACTGGTGTAGGGAAAGCACTGAGGCGGAAAATAAATTAGCTTGAAAAAACTGACAGTGGCTGCTACCTGAGAAGACAGTGGGATTTTCTATGCATGAAATGAAGAAAATAAAGACCTATGATCGTATGGAAAAAACGAATAAGCAACTTGAACATGAAGTTTTACCCCAAATCTGAGAAATGTACCTGAATCCTATTTCCCTCAATTGCCTTGAGGGAAAGAGAGCCTAATAGGTACTGAAGAATAAAATCATTTTTACTCAAGCAGTGCAGGCAAAGTAAAGTAGTCCCTGGAATTCTAAGAAGCTAGCTGAGAATATGAGTCTGAGAACAGTCATTAAAGAGGAGGAAAGTTGGAGGTGACTGGGGAGCACAATGATGAATTTGTACCAGGGTAACAAGGGAGAAAGGGTTTTTTTTCTTACTTAATATGGAGATATATTTTCTAACTTATTATATTTAATGTTGCCTTTTAGGATGTATTAAAAAGTTCCCCTTTTGTCAAGTTAGTACGGAGGAAGGCAAAGGAAAAATCTGGTGGAACCTTCGGAAAACCTGCTACAGCATTGTTGAACACAACTGGTTTGAGACTTTCATCGTCTTCATGATACTTCTCAGTAGTGGTGCTTTGGTAAGTGAAATGTACATGGACAAGCTTCTAGTAAGGTAGCTCACCCTTTGAAAATGCCAGAAGCATAACAATCAAAGCAGAAGGGCTACCTGTGCCTTGCAGAGCTCAGTGACCAGGATGTAACTATGCAAAATGTCATTCAAAACACATCAGAACCACTCAACAGATAGAATTTCTCGTCTGATGTTTGTCTAGCAGATATTGTCCTCCCTTAGATAACCTTTTGCAGAGATGTCCTGTGGCTGTGTCACCTTCCCTGACAAGTGACGTTCAATGTGTCCTAATAATCGTATTAGCATTTATGGACTAAAAATGTATTTTGCTTTCTTCATATGTTATCAACTTATCCTTTTAAAATGAGCCAGGTCACTCAGGAAATTAGGGAAAGTATTTTTGGCATAGGCTAATTCTGTCCCTTTTTAACAGAATTTATAGTCTCTGTTGCAATGTCTTTGTAGTGTGTCTTTGTAGCAATAATGGAGGTAGGTATTTTGACATAAAAAGTAGAGATAGAGTACAAATCACATCAGTAAAGATACTGGCCTTTCCCTGTCAACATATTCACAGTTTGTTTTAATCATTAGATCTTATGTGATGTCTAATGTTTGATATTATGCAATATTTGTCAAATCATTGTTTTGTACTCAATATTATACTAAACAATTTTTTCAAGTACTTATAGGAGGCAAGCCATTGAGGTAAAATAAAGTATTCTTGACTCACAGGCTTTTGAAGACATATATATTGAACAGAGAAAGACGATCAAAACCATGTTAGAATATGCTGACAAGGTCTTCACTTATATATTCATTCTGGAAATGCTTCTCAAATGGGTGGCTTATGGATTTCAAACATATTTCACTAATGCCTGGTGCTGGCTAGATTTCTTGATTGTTGATGTAAGTATCCAAATGATTTTATGTATTTGACATTTAATATATTTATATAATTAAGACAGTGAAATATATTTATACAATGAAAATCATTTAATATATTTTTATTACTAAACCTTTTTTTAAGAAATTACAATTAATTCTATAATATGGGATGTCTGTTAGAATAGAGAAAGGCTGAGAAATGTGGACAGTAATAAGAGAAAACAGAGGGTTGTTCTACACTACAAGGCAACAGCTTTTTTTCCCTGAAAGATAAAGATCTCAAGAGAAGAAATAGCCGTAAAAAGCCTGTTAATTAACAAATCTAAGCCCTCAATTTATTAGTAATTCAATTCTTTAAAATCTCCAAAAGGCAAAATAAAGATAGATTTGAGGACTAGGAATTACAAGAATTAGACTTTAAGTTTTTACTGGAGCACATGTGTTAAATTAAGCCATTTCCTGTATTGCTTTTGTCCCATACTCACAGAGACAAGATGTATTTCCATTTTAAAATCCATAGTTAGATATCCCAGCAACTAATCAGATGTTTACCATGCAAAGTTAGGTGTAGCTCTGCTCTCAATCTGATTACCCTGGGGACAGTAGTCATAGGAACATTGCAATTATAGAATCTATCTGACTTGTTACCTATTTCTTTAATTTTTTTATTCCAAATAAGGGAGAGGCACTGGGGTTTGTCTGGTTGTCTGGTTCTTAGTGTTTTGTGCTATCCCATTGCACAAGGCTTCACAGCTCCTAACAAAACAAGGTGCTTAAAGCAGTCTGCGTAGCTGTTTCCTAGTAATCAGGAAGCACTTTATTTTTAATCCTAACACTGCCAGGAATCAATGATTCCTGTATGTGTGCATTCATTCTTTCAATCATTTTTGACAAGTCTGGGGCTACCCAAATTCCACTCTTTCCTCTCACACATATATACTATCATTCTATAGCCAAAATGTCTTTAACTATCTGAGTTCATAAAATATCTGCTGCCAAGTCACTTTAAATAGACCAGATATGACTTCTAATTTCTGTCTTGACTTTCATAAATAATAGATATGAATTTCAATATTGTCCTAAAAAGGTATCCACAAAGGGAAAGTTAATGTTCCGTGTTATGTAACTGGAATGAATCTTAAAGACTTTCTAGTCTGTTTTCTAGACATCAAGAAACTGAAGTCTTACTTTAACAGTTTTACTTTAACTGAAGTCTTACTTTAACAGACATTACACAACTATGCATGAAAGCCCTGACACTAGTATTCATATCTCAATTCTCGATACAGTTTTCCTTTTCCCTCCTAGAATTCTTCCCTAACTGATCCAATATAAAGGTATTAGGCATATCAGGCAAGAGTGAGCAGGGAAAGTGGGGGAGAGAGAAAGGAGAAGAGAGGAGAAGAGAAGAGAGGAGAGGAGAGGAGAAGAGAGGAGAGAGAGGAAAGAAGAGGAGAGAGAGGAAAGGAGAGGAGGGGAGGGGAGGGAACAAACGGAAAAAGAGAGAATGGTTCAAAAAGACTTCTCTATAGAAAATATTACAATGCAAAACATTCTAAAGAGCTGATCTTACATCATTTTTGCACATTTATTTATTTATTTATTTATTTGCTTGTTTGTTTGGTTTTGGTTCTGGAAATCAGACTCAGGATCTTGCACTTGCCAGGCAGGTGGTGTGCTGCTGAGCTATATCCCTAGCCCTCGCTTTTGCATCTTTAGACAACTAATATAGATACTTAGGTATGTTTATATGAGTAAATGAATGACAAAATAATGGTATAAAACAAATTACTTCCCCTTTAGTGAGTCAAAATTACCAGATTGCGGGGCTGGGGATTTAGCTCAGCGGCACAGCACCTGCCTGGCAAGCGCAAGGTTGTGAGTTCAATTCCCAGTACCGGAAAAAACAACAACAACAAAAAAAAATTACCAGATTGCAACCAGTTAGTGTTCTACAGTTAGGCAAGCTACTTTATCTTACATGAGCCTGTATTATTCTTTTCCCCAAACCAGAGACTGAAGTACATGAACGTAAATTAATATAACCACAAACAAGAACTTGTCCTTAGCCAGGCATGGTGGTGCATGCCTGTAATCCCAGCACTCAGGAGGCTGAGGCAGGAGGATCTTTGTGAGCTCAAGATCAGCCTGGGCTACAAAGTGAGCTCAACACCAGCCTGAACTGCATAGCCAGACCCTGTCTCAAAAAGACAAAAAAAAAAAAAAGGAACTTGTCCTCAGACCACTAGAGTCACAAAGCTAAAGTAATCAAATTAAAACAGTTTTTGAAAATACAAGCGAAACATCCTAAGAGAGTATCAGATTCATTAGGGTGTATTGCTATAACTAAATCAGCTACAAAACCCTAAAACAAACATTTTACTTTCAAATATACCTTTCAAAAACTACAATCATATACTTGAGATATGCATCTCTATACAAAGTGTAACTTTTCAATCTCCTACTTAAAAGTAAAATTAGATTGCCATGAGCTATCTTTCTGACCTCCTAAAATACATCCATTTATTCAATAAATACAGCTGAATCACTATTAAGCACCATATGCTATTGTAGACAAAGGAGATATGAATAGGACAGAACAGGCTCCATTAGAGCTCACATCCATGAGGCAGGAAGTGTCGGAAACAGGCAGTAAGTACATAAATAAGATCAAGGTGAGATAACTGGTCTGAAATAAAGTAGGTCATGTGGTCAGAACAGGTGTGAAAAGGAACAGGCAGACAGTGTCAGCTACTTTCCAGGGAGGGGTCCCTGAGCAGGTTATTAAGGAAAGAGGTGAGGCATTCAAAGACCTGAGGGAAGAGACAAAAAAGAATATTTTGACTCTGAAGTGGGAATAAACTGAGGAGATTCGAGAAATAGAAAGAAAACTGTTGTGCTCGTGTGTAGTAAAACCCAAGTGAGAGCAAGGAAAACTGAATTCAGAAATGTACGCAGGAGCCAAGAAAGAAGTCCAATCATATTATAATTTCTTACAGACTGTATGTGTTCTGTAATTTAACATAATTAATTACAACTACAGTGGGAAGCTCTTGGGGCAGAATAAACTGAGGTTTAATGTTCTTTCCTAAAGTGATCACACTTGGAGAAAGAAAGGTGAAGAAGGGCTGGGGATTTAGCTCAGTGGCAGTGCCTGCCTGGCAAACACAAGGTCTTGAATCAGTTCCACAGTAACAAAAGAAAGAAAGAAAGAAAGAAAGAAAGAAAGAAAGAAAGAAAGAAAGAAAGAAAGAAAGAAAGAAAGAAAGAAAGAAAGAAAGAAAGAAAGAAAATTGAAGACTAAAAGCAGAGAGTCCAATTAGGAAACTGTTTAAAAATCCAAGAAGGAGGAGATTTTATCTTAGATTATGATGAAGAGATTCCCTGGTGGACTTGTTTGGAGTGAAGAGATGATTCAGTAAATAGCTTTCTTCTACAAATGGGTAGACAGTGGAGCCATTATCTTTGGTGGACAATATTGGAAAATATGTTTGGCAGATTAGCCAGATCATTGGTAAAGCAAATGTGTTACATTTGAGATGCCTATTAAGACACTCAAGAGAAGATACTGAACTGTGTGGAATTCTAGATCTACAGTTCAAGAGAGAAGCCAGGACCTGATGTTAAATTTAGGGTCAACAGGATATAGATGGCATCTGATTCTATGAATCTGTTTCAGCTCATGTAGGCAGAGACTGCAAATTGACAGAGAAGTCCAAAACCAAATTCTGGTGGACACTTTAACATTTGGAAACATCCAGTAAGGAGTAAGAGACCAACAAATAGTAGTTAACAGGAGAACAGAATATGGCTTGTGTCACACAGGCTCAGAGAAGATGTGGGGTTTTTCCAAAGGAATGGAGAACAATTTTTTTCAAAAGCTACAACAAAGTTAAGTGACAAAGTACAGAAAACAGACACTTGGGTTTTGGCAAAATGAGATCAGGGCTCTTGTGAAAGAGGGAGTCTTTGGAATTGGTGGGAATGAAATACTGACTGAAAAGGTTGAGGGTAGAATGCAGTGAAAAGTAAACAGCAAGTGTGATCATTCATTTTGGAATCAAGGACAACTTAACCCATGCCTCTGCCTGCCGGAACACTGCACTAGATGGCCCAGTTTACCGTGGTTCTGTATAATTTTTTCTGTCCAAACACCAGAAAGATATTGTCTTCATAAAATTCAAGATATGCTATACTATTCCAGAATTACATAAACTATACTATAATGCTGCTATTAGACAAATGTTGAACTAAATAAATAATTAATGTTTATCTGAAATTTATTGAGAGCACTTCGATTTCCTGTTATCCTTATGGATTTTTGCATATGTATTACCCTTCAGAAAATTCATCTGAGCATCCGTCATAGAAAATTCGCATTCACGTTTAAACTGCCTTAAGGTGCCAAGGTGTCCAAAACAAACTGAGACTCAGCCATGAAGTGTCCATTGCCCACGGGTAATTTCCACTCCATTCACAGCACAGAGCAGTAATGTGGTTACAGTGCGATCCTTGCTTGCTGCTGTGGATCTCACTTCCCCTGCTTTTTCAAGGTCTCCTTAGAATCCCTGCCAGATGTTCTGTTGATGTGAACAATAGAACCGAGACTTTGGGACCCTAATATTTATTTCCAATTGCCAGAAATCTCTACAGTCTAATGGCTCCTGCCTTAATTCTTGACTTATTGGGCATTCTGAATAACACAGACTATTTTTCACTGTAGCACAGTGTAATGTCCAGCACTCTAAACCCTTATTGTGAGCTTGACACTAATGAAGAGACATATCATGATATTGAAAACTGCTACTCCTGATTTGCTGTTTACTGTGTACAAGTGTTACTAAAAACACTTTACATATGTTAAGTCATCTAATCTCTAAATTTCTGTGAGCTAGAAATGACAATTATTCTTAGCTTTGCAGATGGTAAGTTAAGGCAAAGAAAAGCCAAATTGCTTGCCCTTGTTAACCTGACTGTGTTTCTAATCCTTACTTTATTTCTCACAAATCTCATTATTAACA